AGAGTTGTACATCTTCTGGGATTTCTTCATCTGATTTAAAAACTTCTAATGCAAATTTTTTGAATGGAATCTTTTTATTGACACTTAATTTTAATGCATTCATTCTATTAAATAATAAACAATTTCTTTTAACTAATTCTTGAAGTCTATCTTTAAGACTAATACCATCAATAAAACAATGACGCCATTTAAAATAAAAAATGTTATCTTTATTAATTCTTATAACAAAACTCTCTTCTTCATTAGGGAAAATGGAGAGTAAATTAACAACATCATAAACTCTTCTATTATCCACTTTCATTAATTTAGAAATTTCTTTTACCCTCATAAATCTTTTATTCCTAATAAGGCAGAAAATTACTTTCTTTACAATATTATCCATTTATATTGTCTAACCAAAGTAACAGTTTAAGTAGAGTTTAAGTAACAAGATATTATCATTTCAATTTGAGAAGATAGAGATTTATATCAATAGTTTTCATAAACTATTTTTTTAATAAAAAAAGGGTAAATGGAACTATGAAAAGAATCCAAAAATAAAATAGTCTTAATCATGTCAGCCTGCAAATCCGATGTTATGAGAAAGATTAAGATTGACAAACTTGTCCTTAACATTTCAGTTGGAGAATCTGGAGATAGATTAACTCGTGCTGCTAAAGTCCTTGAAACTTTAACTGGACAAACACCAGTTCTTTCAGAAGCTAGATACACTGTTCGTGCTTTTTCTATTAGAAGAAATGACCAAATCGCATGTCATGTAACTGTCAGAGGAGCTAAAGCTGCAGAAATTCTTGAAAAAGGATTGAAAGTTAAGGAATTTGAACTTAAAGCTAACAATTTCTCAGCCACTGGTAATTTTGGATTTGGTATTGAAGAACACATTGATCTTGGATTGAAATATGATCCACAAGTTGGAATTTATGGTATGGATTTCTTTGTTGTTCTTGCTAGACCAGGATTCAGAGTTTCTCGAAGAAAAAGAATGCAAGATAAGATTGGAAGAGATCATCTTTTAACTAAAGAAGATGCCATTAACTGGTTCAAAGAAACTTATGAAGGAATCGTTCTTAACAAATAAATTGAGCATTGTTATCGACTTATTGTGTTATCGTTATTTTAATAATACTTCAAAATATCTAAAGAAAAAACTCAGTTAGTTAGTTTCTTGATATTGTTCTACAATTTGAACCAATAATTTTTCTAATTTAGCTTGATCAACTGAACGAATCCATTTTTGAGGATTGCCTAAGTGATAACTTGCAAACCAATCACAGATTGTTGCTCCACGGCCAAGTCCATCAACACAGATAGATGTTTCAACAACATCAATATGGGTTATAATTTCAGGGAATAAATAGCACATCAAACATAGAGGATCAGGGATAACCCATCCAGTGTATTCCTTGTGTCCAGCAAATCCAATTTCTCTTAAATTTTTTTCATTAAGAGCATAAACTTTTCCAATGAGTTCTCCACATTTATTAGTTGACTTAATTTTATCAAATACTTTCCAATCGACTAGGTGTTTTAAAGTAACATCCCAAGATGAAATCACAGCATTTTTTACACTTCCAAACACAATTTTAGCTGACTCTGGGTCATAGCACATTAAACTCTCCTAATGGTAAGCTGTTCCCTCTACAGTTTCTGACATCATCATTTGGAAATGACCATCATATTAAACAGTTTGGTCATGACACAGCAGAGC